CACATTTTAGGTGAATAGCTCTGATCAGTGCATTGTCATTCACTGATCAGAGCTATTGGTGTGTACAGCAGAGTCTGCTGAACATTTCTGCCATAAACTCGTAGTCACTGAAGTGACCATGAGCTTATAGCAGAATGAGAAATGTCGGGTCCGTACAGCATACAAATCTGGCCAGCTGGAAGCAGTGCTATGGACATGTAAAAGGGTTAAAACTATTAGTGGTGTACCCCAAACACAACCAGGCAAAGGAGAGCCTCTGTGCTTAGGAGGATTCAGATGGAGGTTCTCTTTCTTCACATCTCCCCCACTGTCTCCTGAATTGTTCAGAACAAGGCCACCAAACTAAAAGCTCAGTCCTGCAGACTACACTTGGACAGCTCTCCCATCATAATTGGTGGAGCTTCAGCAACCACACATATCTTCAAAACAATAAGCTGCACAGCTGTATCAGAAATGTTCATTTTATTAACATGATTTTATTGGACATCAGAAAAACAACATATCAACAAATATAAATCTGGACTCCTAAAAACATTTAAAACACCCACAGAAGGCATACTAGACGTCAGAATGACAAAAATCAGGTATGGACAATATGCATATGCACATATACCGTAATATTTGCTACAATAGCATGTGAAAATCACCTCAACATATACGCTTCAGAAAATTCTCAATCAAAGTCTCTCTCTGGGGAGGATCTAGATTCTAGATAAAGGTAATGGTTGATATAAAAATATATATAACTGAACTAACAAATTAAAATGTTAACCACCCTTATCAAAATAATCTACAAAGGAAGGTGTCTAGATGTGTATAAGATTTAATCGCTACCTATCTCTCCAAAATCTATCTATATATTTTAAAAGTGCACAATAATAAATGTAAATAATAAAGTTCCATAATAGGAGAGGTGTTGACCATTGGAGACAAAAAAGGTGAATAAAGATGTGAGATTAATACCCAGTAGCACATAACCTATGTATGGCAAGACATGAGGGCTGAGGGCATCCACTAATAAACTCCATTCATTTTATGGTAGTAGGCTAGCTCATCAGTTGTCCCTACACTGCATGTTTAGTGCTGTGGAAACATTTTGGGTTTAAAATTAGTGGAACAATTTGACAGCTGCCCACATGGTATTAGGAGTGCTAAAAATTACTCCTGATAAACAAAGCACAACAGACCAGCTGTCAAAATGACAGCAGAGCTTTTAAGGGTGGGATGTCAGTGTGACAGCTCTTCTTTCATTTATGAATAAAATCTACTGTTTTAGCTTTAATCCATATATTACTAAACCCGGACCCTGAATTCACTATATCTGGTCTCCCACAGTACAAAGAACATAGAAGTGCAATTATTTTAGTAAACTGCTAAATACCTTTGCTCATCAGCAGTTAGATCAGTCTTGTGACTTCCATCAGTGTTCAGCAGAGCACTGGTTACAGCTTGTAGGAGGAGTTTTCTTTCTGCTCTAGGAGGATGCAAAACCCTGACCTCTGTCTGGACAGTGCTGATTGGCCCTGTGCTGATCACATGCACTCTCCCAAGAAAAAAAAAAAAACCTCTCCAGCAATACACACTAAACTGAGCATGTGCTGAATGGCTACGGGTTCAGTCTGTCTTATCAGGAGATTAGACGTGGACATTTGAACAAGAAGAGAGACAGGATCAAAGGCCTTTTTACACAATGCAGAGGATTAACTCCTTAGGTTCCACAATGAGTATAACAAGCATGCTTTACTGCATATACAGATTTTAATGTTGTGGGTTTAGAAACACTTTAATGTTATGAGTAATCATGTTAAATGTTAACTGTAAAATGTGTAGAAAAAAAAAAGGTTTTAAAGCTAAATTTTAGTCCCTTATTAACCTCAAATTAAACCTAATTATTTTATTGGCACATTTATTCCATTCTTTTATCAGTTTTCTTTCTGTCTGTATTTTATTTAACCATTTGCCATCTGGCCATCTACATACAACTCAGACTCACTCCTAAGGGCAGGAGCCTATTTTAGAACAGCATCCCATCAACAGCCCAGTGTAAGCCAGTAACAGTGTTCCTGATCACTAGCCAGTCCCAGGGCTGTCAGGCCAGTGCAGTCAGCAACAGTGTTCCTGATTGCTAACCACACCAGTGTCAATGAAGCCAGAATCTTTTATCTTCATACTGACCACATCTCTGACTGCCTCCTGACCTGACCCTAGCCTGTCTGACCCCTGGACTGATACTTTACCTGCATACTGGCAACATCCCTGCCTGACACCTGAACTGGCCCTGGCATGTTAATTGAACTTTTTTTGCCTGCTACCTGGACTGTTAGCTGAGCATATCTCTGCCTGCTGCCTGTGCTGACCCTGACATATTTATTGACCGTGTATCTGCCTGCTGCCTGGACCAATCAACTTTCCTGTTTGCTGACCATGCCTCTGCCTGCCACATGTAGTGACTCATCTGCACGTCTCACTTACTACATTCCTGCAAGACACCAGTCCCTACCATCCTTTGCGAACAGGTGCACTACTGGAACCACAAGTACTTTTTTGTTCACCCTTTGTCCAGACTTCTGTAATATCTGGCCATTAAACATAGCATTGTGCTATGGGGGCAGCCATATACCAGTAGGTTAGGCCTGTTTGGCTTTTAGGAACAGGAACTGGTATAGGTGAAGCTACACTAAACTAAAATTCATGACCACCCAATGAGAGGTGAGCATTACAGTATACTGTTTTTTGATACAATGTTGGTTGATATTTGTGATACACAAGATGCAATGTCAGGTGCATAATCAGACCAAACACTGAAAAGATCTCATACATGTGGTATCTCAAGGGAGTAGCAGAATGTGTTTTGGGATGTAATTCTAAAGCTGGCCATAGATGGATTAAATCTTGACTGGTTAGGCAGAGACCAGCTGAGATTCGATTCATCTATTGTCAGGCTAATCGTACTGAAGTTGATCCATCAATTGACTTTAGTACAACCAACCTGCCAGATTATTTTCATGCAATCAAGGAAGGCTCCCTATTGGCAGGACACACAATAGTACTAGGAGAAGGATTCCCCCGTCAACACAGTCAGCGTTGATGGAGGGATCAAGCAATTGTCTCTCCTTTCACCCTTGGTGTATAGGAAATATCTTATTATATTGATATTTTTGTGTAAAATATACCTTTTAATTTTCTTTCTGCATTTTCCAAAAACTTGTGTCAAAAACATTTAATTTTCAAAAGCCACTATGCCTTCTAGAAAACACCTTATAGTGTTTTCTTTCCAAAATGATCTTTTTTGGATTGTTTCTACTTTCCTGGTGCTCCAGGACATCCAAAAATGTGAAAGGAAATTAAATGTGTTAATTGATGCCCCTAGTAAGCCTGAATGTTCTCCTTGGATTTAGAACCCTTCTATATTGTTAAGCTGTGAAAAAGCTTTACACATGTGGTATCGCCATACTCAGAAGGAGAAGTAAGAATGTGTTTTGGGGTGTCATTCTAATTATGCCTATGCTGGGTGTTACAAATATATTAACCTCCCTAGCGGTCTGATTATTTCAGATTTTTGGTGCTGAAAGCGGTACCATTATTTTGCATGGAAATATGTAGTTTTTTTATTGTAGGCTGTAATTTTTAGGAATAACTCACTGAAATCTGTCCGAACAAGAGTCTATTAAAAATCCCGGGTATGATAAACTTTGAAACACGAAATCATAAATTATAATTTAATAAATAATCATAAAAAATAATAATAATATAATAATAATACATTTAATTCAATAATATAATCAAACCAAAAACACTGAAATTTGAAATAGAGCGCCAAGTTCGCACATTGCTGAGCAAAGTCGCAAAATTGTTTTCAGTGTCTGATGACGAATTTCCCCACGAATCATTATCACTCAATTCTGCAAGTGGTTCTGATTTACTATCGCTGTTCTCTAGCTGGTCTAAACCCGCTTTTGACCTAAAGGGACACTTTTTGGACGCCATGGACTTTTCTCAGTTTCCAGGCAGAAAGAACAGACAAAATGCAGGCAGGGCACAGGACAAAGCACTAGGGACAAAATGTATGTGAAATGGGTTTAAAACAGCAATGTTTTGCTATGTAAAAATTTGTTTGGAAAAAATTAAATTTTTTAAAATTTTCAAATTTCCCGCCGCCGGCGGTGGCGCCTGTACGTCCTGACGTCACAGGGAAAAAATACGTTTTGTAAATAATTCCTTGTGAGTATGAGTGCGAAGTAAATGTGGAGCCTAGGAACTGCATAACGATATCAGGTCCTGAGAAGACCAGTCATCTTTGAGCTATGGATTTACCTGCATTGCTGAAACCCACAAAGCACACATCAACCTTCCTGTATTCAGGGGTAAATAAAATCTGGTGAGTTTGCATTCTTTATCTCATGTGGTGGCACATCTTGCATGTTTTGGTGGAAGACTAAGAAAAGAATTATCATGTTAGGACCTTTTGCCATTTGGGGTATACATAATTGCTAGATTTTTAGACCATGGACTGATTATATGTACAGTATGTACATTCTGAATATTTTATTTTATGTCAATAGCATAAAAACATGTTTTCAGTTTTCTCTGGTATTTTAACCACCTCCCGCCCGCCATATAGTCCAATGACGGACGCAAGGCGGTTCTCTCATTCTGGGAGGACATCATATGACGTCCTCCCATTCTCACACCGCGCATGCACAGTTCCGGGAGTGAGCAGCGCGGTGATCGGCGGTGCGCTCTGTCCCTCAGACACAGCGGATCACCGATCCACAGAAAGAGCCGAAGATGTCGGCTCGGTCATGTGATCAGCTGTGTCTAATCACAGCTGATCGCATGTAAACAGGGAAATGCCGGTTATCGTTATTTCTCTCCTCATGAGCTGTCACGCTGACAGCTCATGAGGAGAGGAGAGCTGGTAATTGGCACTCCTCAGAGGGGACATGTGCACTAAATCATCAGGGCACTGATGATCAGTGTGCCCTGATGATCAGTGTAGCCCTAGCAGTGTCACCTGTCAGTGTCCATCAGTGCCAGCTCTCAGTGCTCATCCATGCTACCTGCCAGTGCCAGTCAGTGCCACCTATCAATGCCAGTCAGTGCCACCTATCAGTGCTGCCGATCAGTGCCACCTATCAGTGCCAGTCATTGCCACCTATCAGTGCCAGTCAGTGCTGCCTATCAGTGTGCATCAGTGCCTCCTATCTGTGTCTGTCAGTGCTGCCTATCAGTGCCACCTAACAGTGCCAGTCAGTGCCACCTAACAGTGCCAGTTAGTGCCGTCTATCAGTGCCACCTATCAGTGCTGCCCATCAGTGCCATATATCAGTGCTGCCTTTCAGTGCCCATCAGTGATGCCTGTCAATGCCCATCAGTGCCACTTACCAGTGCCTCCTCATCAGTGCCCATCAGTGCCACCTATTAGTGTCCATCAGTGCAGCCTATCAGTGCCCATCACTGCAGCCTCATTAGCGCACATCAGTGAAGGAGGAAAATCACTTATTTACAAACTTTTATAACAAAAAACTAAGAAAAATTTTTTTTTTCAAAAATTTTCTGTGGTTTTTGGTTTGTTTAAGAAAAAATAAAAAACCCAAAGGTGATTAAATACCACCAAAATAAATCTCTATATGTCACAAAAAATGATAAAAATGGGTACAGCGTTGCATGACCGTGCAATTGTCATTCAAAGTGTGACAGCGCTGAAAGCTGGAAATTGGCCTGGGCAGGAAGGGGGTAGAAGTGCCCTGTAGGCTAGTGGTTAATTTAGGTTGCACAGTGTTAAGCACCGATTTTCTTATATATACGACTGTGAAAAAGTCTCACATATGTATTATCCCCATATATATTACCCAAATGTGTTTGGGGCAAGTATGCCCATGCTGTGTGTTAGAAATATCTTATTAATTGACAACTTTGTGTAATTAAAAATACATTTTCATTTGCTTTCCTTATACAGACATTTGTGGCAAAAAAATGGAGTTTCCAAGACTCACCATGCTTCAAATAAGAAAATATCTTGGGGTTTTTCCTTTCCAAATTTTTAGTTATTTTGTGGGTGTTTCCCCTTTCCTGGCTCTTCAGGAACTCAAGAAATGTGATAGGTAGTAAGGGAATCAGATGCATAATTTATGCCTCTAGAAAGCCTAAATATGCTCCTTGGATTTTGAGCCCCTCTATGCAGCTAGGCTGTGGAAAAAGTCTTACATACATGCGGTATCCCGATACTCAGGAAGAGTAGCAAAATGTGTTTTGGGGATGTATTTCTACATATCTATGCTCTTGATGTGTGTTAGAAATATCTTATTTATTTGACATTTCTGTGTAAAAAAATAGATTTAAATTTTTTCCTGCATTTTCCAAAAACTTGTGGCAAAAAATATGATCTTCAAAAACTCACCATGTCTCTTAATAAACAGTTTGCTTTGAAAAAGTAGCTATTTTGTAAATGTGTCTCCTGTTCTGGTCCTTTAGGGACTCAAGAAATGTGATAGGTAGTCAGAAAATTAGATTAATAATTTATGCCCCTTGAAATTCCAAAGGTGATCCTTAGATTTTTGGCCCCTCTATGAGTCCAGACAGGGAAAAGGTCTCACATCTGTGGTATCCCCATAATCAAGAGGGGTAGCAGAATGTGTTTTGGGTTGAAATTATAAGCATGCCTATGCGATCTGTGAAAAAAATAACTATTTAAAATGACAACTTTGTGAAAAAACAACAAATTGCATTTACAGTACTTTCTTCATTTTCAAAAAAAATGTGGCAAAAAAAATTACAACTTCAAATAACTCGCCATGCCTCTTACTAAATAGCTTGGGCTGTTTACTCTCCAAATAGTGGTCATTTGGAGGTGATTAAATTAAAAGTAAGCTCCTTCTGTATATCTGTCTGAAAAATTATATTCCTTTAAGTACAGTGTTGCAAGGCTGAGTAATTGTCAATCAAAATATAACAGTGGTGAAAATTGAAAAATAGCCTGGAGAGGAAGGGGGCTTACATGTTAGTCTTCAAGTGGTTAAAATTTGTGTTCATTTTTGTAGTGTCATGTTAAAAAAATACTCTGTACCAGAAATATAATTATAATGCATTTGAAAAAGGAACACATTGCGGAATAAAATCTGTACTTTTGTTGAGTTATAAACTACTTTAATTCTTGGATAGGAGAAATGTGGTTATGATAATGTAAAGAAATCTTGGCTTTGTTTAAGCCTGCTGATTATGACTAAATCACACTAGTTTAATCATGTCACAACACACATTTCCCTCATCCCATTCAGTGGTCTAGCCTGGACTAAAAATGTGTTAACCCTAGGGTCAGTGGACTGAAGCTATCATTTCTCTAACCTGCACCAGTCCAGACACTTAGGGGGGGTATGTGGGGGTGAGATGGAATACTTTTGGCATCTTCATTTGTGTACCAGTAGACCTTGTTGCAGAACTAACTTCAAAGATTAGCTTTGGGACTGGTGTTTTTTTTACCTGCTTTAACCATATACCATTTGGGATTAAAAATACCATTTATGTATTTGTAGTTGATACACTAGCTATGTAATGGTATCAAATTCCTACAAAATCTCTCTAACTTTCAAGCTAAATGGACTTCCCTGTTTTATTTGACATGTACAAGAAACAACACTGTGGATTGTTTATATCCAGGGAGTATCCGATTGCCTTTGGGGATCCACAAGGAATTCATGCCCTGTTAGAGTAAATTGGATCATGGTTTATAAAAGATTTTTGCTTTCCTTTGGATAAACAGTGGATTTAAGTTTCTGAAGACGAAAAGTTTTAATGAATTTATTTTTGTCTTTTGGTTGAACAATATGTGCCTTTTTCAACTATGTAACTATACTAATTATATAGCTAGATTATATTATGTAAATATAAAATGTGAATGTTATAATTATATGTAGGATCAGAGATTGCTGGCTTGGAATCAAAATTAATTTTACTTTTTAAATGTTGAATGTTAAACCAATATACTAGTTTTATCAAGCTGTAATATTTCTGGGATACAATGTGAGAAATCCAAATTCAGTAGAAACCAATAACGACATATAATTTCGATTGTATAGCAGTCCATCAGTCAATCAATCAATCAATCAATCAATCAATTAATCTATTAATCAATCTTCTTAGGGCTATGTCAGGAGGACATTTATGTAGTGTGCCTTAATTAGAAATACAATTACTATGTGGTACATTTAACTTAAAGAGAGCCTGCAGAAAAAAAAGATAAATAGGCTGTCATTGCTGACACTTCTTTTTGAAAATGCTAGTTGCCTAGCTTTCAGTGGCATGAGTACTTTCCACACCTATTCGGTATTCTTTCCAAAGTGAATCTTCTCTAAGCTTCATTTTGTTCACTCAGTCCAGTAAACAATCACTTTACCAAGTAAAAAAGCACTTTGCAAAGTAAACTTGCTCTATCTTAGTAGACCAACCCCAATATTAAGAAAAGTAACCTTGAAAGTGAAAATTATATTCATATATTTAAATAGAAAAAATGTGCCGGACAAAGATTGTACAGCCAAACTGGTAGGTTTTTTTTTTAGGCACAGTGAGAGACCAAACTATCATGTTAAAAATTACATTTTTTATTTACATAAAACTACATAACAGACAAGATAAAACATGAAATCCAGGACACCCTATCAAAGAGGGGAAGAGTTCCTGGCATTACCCTTTACATCATATGTAGTACATATAACCTTATGGAATACTCCTTGTTATGAAAGAGTATATCTCTACAGTAAGGAACGGTCAACGTGTTTCACCTGTGTGTATGGCTTCTTCAAGACCATGACTTCTTTGTAAAGGGAAGCAGTACTACTGTATATAGAATACAAAAAAAAAATATGTGCACAAACAAAATGACATAACATGTACATATAATATTCAAAAAATTATTATTGGGCTTCCATTGAAAAGCGTCAGCCAGTGATAACCAGTCTGGAGGGTGGACATAGTGGACTCAAATGTAGATCATTCAGGCGGGGTGCAAGGGAACCAATCAGCATATATCTAAAATCCTATAAATGGAGCACATAACACCACCAGCAAGATGTATAAATATTTATAAGTTTGCATTTACTCATTACCAAACACTCAATACCTAATATATGAACTAATACTCACAATGATCATAAATTATTCCCACATGTAGATGGAATGAGTTAGATTGAGGACGTGGAAGCAAATGGAAGTTCACAGCAAAGATATAACAGAGAAAAGGTGGGTTATGCCTAAAGATAACACATTATATATTAGATATATACTAAAGGGGATTAAAGCCATATTTTATGTATAGTGATAATAAACTTACTTGTATGGCTAAGTAATAAAGGGATGACTAGGCAGATAAACAGTGTATGTATTTACAGGAATATCTTGAACAGTTTAACACCAATTTAATACAACAAAAAGAGTAAAATTTATTGAGAGATAAGATGGCTTTCTCTAGCAATTATGCATATATATGGCCAGAAGGTGGACAAAGATGTCCGTGGGCCCAGAAAACAGCATAGTATAATAAAAACTCCCGTGTACATTAACAGGGAAAGGTACCTCACAAGTACCCATCTGGGAGCCAGTAACAAACGACCTGACAGAAGGGAGCAACTGACTAAACATACAGCCTTCTGCACCATTAATCCCAAAGCGTTTCATATCAAAAAGATACTCAAAAGGTATTGCGGTATTTTACATCAGGACCCCCCACCTCATCAACATCATCTCAGAGGACACAGAGGACATTTTTAGAAAACCCAAAGACTTGAGGAACTTTATAGCTCCCAATAAGGTCTGTACACACAAGTTTGGTCCCCTCTTGGAGTACGCGCTTTGATCAAAAAAGGGCAGTTACAGATGTGGAGTGGGGAATTGTGTAATTTGCCATTATATGTGGCACAAAAAGAAAAAAAAAGAGGTGATGGGAAATGATGGTATTTCTTACAAGATCAAACAGTTTATTAACTGTGGTTCCCAATATGTTGTGTATTGTCTCATCTGTCCCTGCAGCCTCCTTTATGTGGGCTGCACTTCTTGTACACTACATTTTAGATTTGGAGAGCATAACAGAAATATAAAACATGGAAGTGAAGGTCATTCCATTGCCAATCATTTCTAAGAGAAGCATGACAAGAATCCTGCAGGTCTTAGAGTCTTTGGGTTAGAAAGTATTCCTAGTGATATTGACCCTGGTAGACGTCTTCGCAAATTGTGCCAAAGGGAGACTTTTTGGATTCTCCATCTGGACACATTGGTACCGAGAGGGCTTAATGAAGGGTTAGATATTAATGTTCCCTCCCCTTTTTTGGAGCTCTGTTGGTATTATTTTGTATGCATACATACTGTATACGTTTTTTTTATATATTTATTATTTATTGCAATTTCTGTAACAAGCTGTAAAAAGTTCATTATTATGCATTTACACTTTGATACCATAT